CCAGAACAAATGCAGAAGACACGAGCATACAAGAAGTTGGAAATCACACACCTGAAATTTTTCACATAATAGAATCTGAAGTAAAGAAAAACTGTAAAGCGCTTCTCTGGCAAGTGCAAGGACCTGAGTTCAATCCCCTGTTCCGCCAAAAAAAGAAACAACTGCAGAAAGGTACAGAGGAAATCAGACCAGAAATAATCTCGAAAGTATAGAAAGAAATGATAACTCTAATGAAAAAAGTTACTAAGTGCATATAAAAGACTGAAAAAAAAATGGAGAATAGAAAAATGATGGAATCCTTCAATAAGCAACATAGAAAAGAAATAGAATGCATGAAGCAGATTCAAAGAGATATACAGGAGATTAAAACCTCAGCAACAAGCTGACAAAACTGAATGAAAGTGAAGAGTATCAGACCTTGAAGACACCGTTGCAGCTAGTGAAAAGTTCAGAAAAGATCTCTTTAAAACAATTAGGATGCAGGAAAAAAATAATTCAACATCTGCAAGACAATGCAAAGATGAACAACATGAGACTAATAGCCATCAATGAGAAAGGAATCAATACAAATGACATAAAAATATGGGCAATAATAGCACAAAACTTCCGAAATATGGGGAAACAATCTGACGTTCACGTAACTGAAGCATATCATACAAAACTCCAAATAACATCAACCCAACTAAAAACATACCCAGACATAATAATAATCAAGATCCCAAAAATCCAGCACAAAAACAATATACTAAAAGCTGTTAGAGAAAAGAAACATCATATTTAAAGCAACACCATCAGGGTAACAGCAGATTTCTCTTCACAAAACATCATCAAGAACAGCATGGTGAAAAGTACTTCCAGCCCTCCAAAAGAACAAATTCCAGCCCAGATAACTATACCCTATAAAATTATCTTTCAAGTTTGATGGAGAAGTGAAATACTTCCATGACAAAGAAAAACTAAAGAATTTCATGATGACAAAGCCAACCTTACACAGACTACTAAAAGATATTCTAGAGAGAGACCAAAATGACCACAACTCCACGAATGAGAATGGAAAGAACCCACCAAATTGGGTAAATAATTAAACACATGAGAAAAAGAGGAATAAACCAGCAGGTAAACAACACGTCAGTCAAAAGTCAATATATCTCAATTATAACCATTAATGTGAATGGCCTCAATTCACCAATTAAAAGAAATAGACTGGCACAGTGGATTAGGAAGCAAAATCCAATAATATGCTGCATACAGGAAACATATTTAACTTACATAGGCTGAAAGTCAAAGGATGGAAAACAATACTACATGCCCCAGCACCTCAGAAAAAAGCAGGGGTAGCAATACTATTCTTAGATAGTCTGAACTTCAAACCAAGAATGATCAAACAAAATGAAGAAGGTCACTATATCCTGGTTAGGGGAATATTCAAGAGTAAGACGTAACACTCATAAATATAAATATATACGCACCAAACACGGGAGCACCCAACTATATAAGACAAATCTTAAGAAACATGAAAAATCTAATATCCAATGTCACAATCTTAAAAGGAGATCTTAACACCTCCTTATCCCAAAAAGGTAGGTCAAGCAGACAAAAACTTAACAAAGAAGTAGCACAACTGAATCAGAATTTGGAACAAATGGACTAAGTGGCCATATACAGAGTGTTCCACTCAAACACATCAAAATACATTTTTTCACCTGCACATGGGACATTTTCTAAAACAGATCATAAACTAGTCCATAAGTCATGCTTAACTATATGGAAGAAAACAGAAATTATCCCATGCACATTATCTGACCACAGTGCAATGAAACTGGAAATTAATAACAAAAGAAACCACTAAAATCCCGTAAATACCTGGAAATTACACAAAACCCTCCTCAGCAACCAGTGGGTCATAGATGAAATTAAACAATATAGGGCTGGAGAGATGGCTCAGTGGTCTAAAGCACCTACTTGGAACAAGCTT